CTAGTTTTCTAAATAGGATATTAAAGTGAATATTCTATGCACTTGTACTATTAAGGTTTACTAGGAATGTGTCTCATATAAATAGAAAAGGAGGAAAAGGAGACAATGATATAAGGCATGTGATATTCATTTTGTAAGAACAGACTTGACAAAAGATTCTCTCTCTCCTTTGCTAAGATACAAACACTACTTTTTCACAAAGATTTTTGTCTACATTATTCCAAACTTTTCCATCAGATCCGAGAATAATTCAAACATTCAAAGATTATTTGTCTGTCACTCATCATTGTTAGGAGGAACAACCATCTAGTTCATCCTTTGTTGGGTGAATCACTCATCCTATTTACTTAAATGTCATTTATTGTTATTTATTGCTATTAAATGCTACATTATCGCTCATGCTCTTTGGAATAGCTATTTCATACTATTATCACTTTTCTACTAGATCTAGTTAATGCTTATCACGAGAAGTCACATCTAAAAATATTATTATTAACTAGGTTTAACCCTAGACAAAAGGGGTTGCTCTGATGGTAAGCAACCTCCACTTCCAACCAAGAGGTTGTGAGTTCGAGCCTCTCCAAGAGCAAGATGGGAAGTTCTTGGAGGGAAGGATGCCGAAGGTCTATTTGGAAACAGCCTCTCTACCCCGGGGTAGGGGTAAGGTCTGCGTACACACTACCCTCCCCAGACCCCACTAAGTATAATTATACTAGGCTGTTGTTGTTGTTGAACTGGGTTTAACCCATAATTATATATATTTAATGATTTGAACCAAAAGTTATATTTTTTGATCAAACAATATATACATAAAATAATTAACTATACATACACTATAATTTCCGGCAAAGGGCATTTCAAACGAATCCCTTCTGCAGTTTTGCTCCTAGCTCTGCCTATGGGGGCATTTGCATCTATATCCGCTTTTTGTGTCACGTTTTAACTTGTGCCCGCTTTGCAAAAAAATTTGCAAGCGTACCCGCTTTTTTGCATAACTTCAGCATACGTGGCTGAAGTAGCAAAGGCAATCACGCAACACTTCAGCATTCTAGTAGCCGGGCCTGAAGTTCAGCTCTAAAGCTGAAGTTTTTGTTTTGTAACTGGCGAACTTCAGCTCTAGAGCTGAAATTTTTGTTTTGTAACACGCAAACTTCAGCTCTAGAGTTGAATTTTTTTGTTTTTGTATTTTTGTTTTGTAACTGGCGAACTTCAGCTCTAAAGCTGAAGTTTTTGTTTTTAACTGGCGAACTTCAACTCTAAGAGCTGAAGTTTTTGTTTTTGTGTTTTTGTTTTGTAACTGGCGAACTTCAGTTCTAGAGCTGAAGTTTTTGTTTTGTAACTGTGGAACTTCAGCTCTAGAGCTGAAGTTTTTGTTCTATATTTGATTAACTTCAGCATGTTGTAGGCCTTTTCGGCTTATTAGTCTCTGCAGCCTTGCTTTTCTCAACCTTGGATTCATTACCTCCTTTTGATCGTTTGGAACGACGCAAAGGAGTGGAGAAATAGTCAATTTTGTTATGTTTTTTCTTCTCTGTTTGTGGTTTACCAGTGATATTTCGAAGCTCTGCTATGGTTTTTGAAAGTCCAACACTGGCTAATCGAGCCTGTAATCAAATAAAATCAGCTATAGGAATTTAAAATTGACAGAAAAGAGGTACTCAAAATGGAGAGAAGAAGAATCATTCAAAAGCAACCCAAGTGGGAGACAGTGAAATTTCAAAGAACTTTTATTGTCTCTTGATTTGGGATTTTTAATATTATAATAATTCAAGTGGAAGTCCTCAGTATATTTGCTTTAGTTTCATTAATCAAAGAGAGCAATGTTGAAGTCATCGTACATTGTAGAAGAAGAAAGAAGAAAACGAAGGAGGAGAAGGAGGAGGAGAAAGGTGGCTGAAGTTGTTTAAAAAGTGGGTACAAGTTAAAAGTTTAAAAAAAAATAGGTATAGGTTAAATGGGGGCGACCAAATAGGGTGCCCCGTACAATTTTTACCTGTCTATGTTGCAAGGTTAACAATAAATTATCATCAAGGTCATGTAACGGCCCAAGTGATGCCTAGCTCTAATGATGTGTGCTACATAATGCTGCTTGGTGGGCTGGGCCTGAATCGAATCGGGCTGGGCCCGCGGTCCTAACGGGTGGGCCGGTCTTGGTGGGCCTGAGAAGCCTGTGACGGGCCGGTCTTCATAGATTAGCCCACGAGCCCGGGACCGTTTAGCCCGGGACCGTCAGCCGGTCCTGGCGGGCCTGGTGGGCCTAATGGGCCCAACAGATTTTTTTTTTTTTTGTATACACATAACATACAAAATATATAAGGTAATATATACACCTAACATACAATATATACTACAAGAAAATATATAAGTAATAAGTTATAATATATATACATAAGATACAATATATATACTACAAGAAAATATATAAGAGAATATATATACATAACATACAATATATACTACAAGA